TATCTCAATCGAAACAATCGTATAGAAAAATGAATATCTAGTACAATAGTTTCTATTGGACATTGTATATAAAAACCGTACAGTAAAGCAGCGAAATTTTTAGATAAAATTTGCCAAAAACGAATACAATTTCCAATAGAAGTTTAATCGAAATCCAATACCATGTTCCATCGAATTCCCTACGTATTTCTGTGAATTTTTTTCAGCAAAGCCAAAGCTGTGCACCCCCAAGGGTTACAAGGGTCACGTCAACTAAGTCCTTTGTCAAAATTTTCTACAAAATTTTACCCACCAAAGCATAAGGTTTTTCATCATCTCCATATAAAACGTGCATACCCTCTTGGTATTCCATTTGTACTCTGTGACAAACTGCGTTTATTCATTGTAAACTTTTGATGATGGGTGGGGTTGGGGGCTGGTGAGAGCACAGGGTTGAAATGAGTTATTACACAAGTTCTAAGTTATGAAACATAACCGCGAAAATGTTCCTTGTTGTGATTCACGAATATGCATTAATTACCCAACTACATTTAACATTGAATCATAATCTGCTGCGAGTGAGTGGAGAAGGCTGGGTTATATCATTGTGTGTTTTAAGGTGGGAGTTGTCTTCATGAAGATGAAAATGAAAATGAAAATGTTCTCATAGAACCATTAGGGGTTCATTTATTCATTGTGGATGGCCCGTGTTTTTTTTATTTTTTCAAGTTGAAATTCAGAATTGGGGTCAAGTATTTCGAGATCCATTCATCAGAATTGCCAACTGTCGAATTACAGAAGACCGTTGTTCCTATATTCCAAAAATTGAATGTGCCGCGTAGATGAATGACCGATACAGAAAATACCCGCTTTCATCTTTAAGCACTCATGGTGTTATTATATACATGCTAAAAGGAATGTTTTTCTGTTGATGAATTAGATTAATTTTCCTAGTTACTTTCTTTTATACAGCCCATGTTTGTTCTCTGCATTTTGTAATTCATTGCATATTGTCAGACTATTCAATTTGATAAAGGATGTCTACTGAGGATACTACTGAAGTAAATTTTTTGAAACATCTTATACGCAATCTAACTCTATCAAGTTATCCTGGTTACGATGAGGAATGCATAAAGAAAAAGTGAATCATCAAAAATCTCACACTATTTATGATACTTGTAACTCAGTTAACAAGATATTTTAGTCCATAGAGTTTCGTACGATTGAGGTTTCCTTCCAATAATCCATTCTATCGAATGTTTCTCGCAAGAGATGACAAGAAGGAATTATTTGCAACAATTGAAAATGTGATACCATTCGATCTAAGAAATTGGAATTTCATGATGCTGGAAAATAATGATTAGACCTCATGCACGAAGCGAGATAACTTTCATGATACTAATTACGAATTGTCACCCTCGTCATTTGAAACAATAAAGTGGGAGTCTCATTGTGTATTTTTCATGAATATTCTTTTGTACTATCCAACGGAAATACCAATAATTTTCCAACTGATGACATACCTTACAAATTATTAATGGGTACAAGAGTTAACATAACCGTTTTGTTCATAGTGAACATTTATTCTATCATTCATTCAATCCAATGGTAGCAACCCGGCTGTCCAAAGGGTTAGGTGGACAGAGGAACTCAAGGGGTCCCTCGGTCTACTTAGACAGCACGATTGTGGACTGCCGTAAGCTCACCCTCTGGTTAGAGGGAGCACTATTGTAGAGCGATTAGGAAAAGTTTGCACCACTTAGCTTGCTGAACGGTCTTTGAGTTGAAGTCGGAACCGTCGAGGACCGTTCAACGATCTCATTAACGAGTAAAAAAATAATAATAATTGTCATAAACATCTCATAGCAAATTCAACCAGTGTTCAAATTAAATAAAGCACAAGTGGAAATTTCACACTCCATAAGAACAATATTTGTATGTATGAATTGTTAATCACATTCGCACGACAAATGTCCAATGATTTCAAGTGAGAATGATGAAACTGCGGACACTCAAACTCCAGTGGTGTGTCAATTCTCAGTTGAATCAAGGCACTCTCTGTTGAAATACACCATGTTTCCCGCTCATCTAATTATCACAGTTATGACTATTCGCACGTACTGCACCTCTGTGCGCCTCATAACTTCCGTAATTACACGCTATATCGTGGAGGGGGGAGGGGAGAAAACTTGGTTGAACAATGGGACGCGAAGTCGATGATAAAATACATATAGTTGCCTGCATGATACATTCAGATGTTTTGTTCTCTAACTTCCCGGCCAAGATTCCCGGTAACTAAATTTGTCCTGTCATCCAATAATATTCATTATCAAGTTGTATCCTCAAGTAGGAAATGAAACATCCTCCACGAAAATCTTTGCTCTATGAATTTTCCAAAGAATGATTGAATCAAAGTTTTTCCTATCGTAAGAGTATGATGGAGGGAGTTGAGATTGTAATGAAGAATATGAATAATTATAAAAAATATTTGAAAATACGAGGTGGGCGGCAGGCCTGAGCGTCGCCATCTTGGGCGTTCCTTGAGGGCAATCAAAATGGCAGTGTCCGGAACGGTAAATCGCCTCATCTCGTATTTTCAAACGTCGTCTAAATTTATTTATCCTCCTCAGATCATTCTCAACTCGTTTCATGGCACTCCTGCAATGGGAACGATGTTGATCCATTAATTTTCTCGCTTCTCAATTTCGAACTCGATACCAATATTACAGAAACAAAACCACTTGCATGAAACACTTGAACCTCAGAAGGAAGCCCTAAACCATTTATGTTATTCACCCCCTCCCCCCTCAATGAAAAGCACCCGAGAAAACTGAATGACGCTATATTTTCCAAAATGACTTAAGTTATGTCGGGTGGTGCCAGATGGTGTAATGACTTTATGGATGGCATATCATGTGCTACGTGCAGCATTGAACTGTGGGTAAAGCCAGAGTGTATAAAGCTGTACTTTGGAAGCTCAGGAGGGGGTTTATTCCCCACGAGAATGTTGCCTCCACTATAGCAGGATGTGTTAAAGTAAGGAAACGAGGAAAGTACGAGAGTGCACATGAACAATATCATCGTAGAGAGGAGACATTGCAGAAAAAAAAGAAGAGATAAATCTTCATCACAAGCCCCATCACTCATGCAAAATTGACAATTTCATCAGCCCGTGTGGGATTAAAGTCTTTGAAATAGGGTAACGTAATTATCAGTTCAGCAGTCGTAATGAAGATAACACTATTGATTTCAGGATGATATTCATCTCGATTCGTTACCCACAGTGAGAATACCTCCGGCTGGTGAATCTAATGGAAAACGAGGGCATCGAACGGTTAAACGTGACGTACATACCGCATGCATTCATTCACCATTCCAGAGTTTGAATTTCTGTTATTTACCTAGAAACGCGAAATCCTTCATCCCCTAAATATCACCACTACCGTCTCCTCCTCTCGACCTATCAAAACAATATGAATTACATTTACCAATGAAATAGTATCGAGATTTAACGATTCCCACTGCCGAGTAGTATTCAGACCACTAGAATGATCCCGCGAACTTTTGGAATGTGGTCATAGTCAATAATACCCTAAACCATCACCTGCAGAAGGGTCCACTCGTGATTTTGGCAGTGCACCAAAGTGACGCGTGACTGTTACAAAATGACCACTCTTAACCGCACTAGCCACTCAAATTATTCGTAAACCAATTTGTGGATAAAATCTCATTGCTGTTGAATTCGATTGGTGGATTGGGTATACTGGGGTCATAACGATGTTATCGAACAACTGGAGATTGTGGTAATACGGAAATTCTCATTACAATCCCAGGCATCTGGTGCATCATGGCTGGAGTCAACATGGCTCTAGCCGGCCTGATGATCAGTTGACCCGACTGGCTACCATTGTTTACTCCAGTTGTCCAGCGGCTGGCGACAGTGTGTAAACCGTCACAATAACCGGTGATGGCTGGTCTATTGATTATGCTAAGTTTAGGGATGATTGTGGAATTTGGAGGTGTAGGGGGAGACCTGCAAGTGGTCAAGACTATTTGGGGTTTGGAAATTTTTATTGTGAATTTTTTAGATTAGAAAGGGTGGGTGGTATTTTCGGTTTTTTTCTGGGGATGTTGGCGTTTTTCGAGGTTTTAAGTGGGCGTTAGTCGATCGATAGTTGGTCGTTGGTCGATCGATACTCGATCATTATTCGTAATTGATTGATCATTGCATGCTAGGCGATCGATAGCCAGTCGATTGATAGGTGGTCGATGATCGACTATTAGTCGTTAATTGTTTGTGTTTTTAGAGGTATTGGTCGATATCGATAGTCGATCATTGGTCGATAAACGATTTATGGTCCTCGTTCGATCGATAGTTGATGCTGATTCTTTCAATTGAAGGCCCGAGTTGAAGACCCGAGTTTGTAGCAGAGATGTCAGACAAGATATGAATGTTTTTTTGGGCTCAAATGAAAGAGCGGGTCGAGAAACTGCGTGCTAGGGCCTCTAAAGATGGTTTTGAACCAGGGGAGACTCCTAGACCCCAATGTTCTATACATACTCCTAGACCCCATTGTCCTCCTAGACAATGTTGTCACAACTCTGCTTTTCAATTGAAAACAGATATCATCTTTAGAGACATTTGTCATGTTTAGAGGCTCTAGCACGTCATTTCTCGACCGGCTCTTTCGTTAGAGCCCAAAAATACATTCATATCTTGTCTGACATCTTTGCTACANTATTTTAAAAAAAGTACTAACTAGCAAATGTTTTTTATTAGCTCGCAATTTTTTTCAAAACTACTTCAATGAGGAAAAAAATAAAAATTTGGAATATCTATACATGAGGGGCTAATTGATCGGATCTCCATTTGCGCTATAGTCGGACACATGGCGCCATCCATAATTACTATCGACTGCAAATAAAACGAATGCAATTTCTACTCTACCGACACTTTTTGACCGACTGCAAGGACCGTGCACAGATGTGGTTGTGTACAGTTGTTCCCTCACATTTTTCACAAATCTGTGGACAGCCATGGATGTGTACAGTTGCGGAAGTACGAACCCCCCTCTCCTCCCGAGTCAAGTCAATCAAAAGCCGACAAGACGAATTTAATTGATCCAATTGACTATTACAAGGATTGAATTATAAATAGACACAAATCAGTAATAATATCAGCTTCTCCTGGAGCAGTTCAACTCAGTGACTGTTCATGTTACTTTGTCATACGAATTAATTAGTGAAGACGAGATTTTTTTTGTTGCCATGACTTGAGTCATTAAAAATCAATTGATCATTCAATCAATCAATCAATCAATATCAATATCAATCGATTATTTTTGAACATTCGTAAGTATTCTGCAACCATGAGGGCATGGTTTGGGAGACATCTCCTGCGGTTATGGCTCGCCACGACAACTCCAAAGTGTCAAATTGCCATTGACACGACAAACGCGAGAGTCAAATTCTGCTCGTCCAAGTCAGTTGAGCTCAAGAATATTGTTAAGAGAGTCAAACCCTTTGGAAGAGTTGTCATCGATGTTCCTTACCATGTCGAGGTCAAGCCCACGTGTCCACACGAGTATCCGGACATGGATACTGTTCTCGTTAAATTAGTCTCTCAGGATTCGTTCGGGGATAAACGAGAGGATCTAGTCACTGTCAATGTCACGGATGAGCTCTGCGAAATCAAGGGGAAGGAGGAAGAATTTCTTGGGAATGGCAGGTGTCTCGTTCAGACGCCAGTTCGTTATGGTACGAAAATAGAAATGCTATTTATAGACGAATTTTCGGGGACAATTCACTCTGACTTTTCTGAATTTCGCACGATTTTTTTGCGTAATATATTTTGTTATCAGCATTCTCTTCTCTTCGATTATTTATTTGAGCTGGGATGGGGGAATCAAGCATTGAGATTTGTTGATGAACTGATTAATGAGGTGATTGTCAGGATTTTTTTGAGGAAAAATAATGATTTTATCAATTTTACGATGACTATTTGACTTTTGATCAGTTTTCAATGAATAACTCCAAATCTAAAAAAGAGAACAAAATTTTTGTTTTTACCTTTTTTGTAGCCCTCAATTCACTACATGAAAAAGGTCATTACGAAAACGTCGTTTTCTTCCTTAGATTCAGAGATATTCTACTCAATGTTGATCATTGATTGTCCTAAATTTAATAGCTATTATCAAGTCATAATTCTGTTCAAACAAAAATTTCGAAAATGAAATTAATTTCCATTTCTGAATATGAAAGAATGATTTTCATGCTGAATGATTCAGAAACATATTTGAGAGTTGAAGATTGATTTGGAAAAATTGCTTAAACATGGGCTCATTTACCTCCTTTCAATATCTCCGACACTTATTTCAATGATAATTACTCTAGATGTCGACATAAAGACTGTTGGAGACGCTAACGTGGAAGTCCACAACATGATATCAGATTTCATAACCGTACAGACGGAATTTGGAAGCATTGTTGGATCCAAATTGCAGGGGAAGAAGATCTCCTTGTCCTCGAGTGAAGGGGGATCCGTCACTGTTCATAAAAGCATTCAAGGGGAGATTGAAATTAACACAGCTAAAGACGGGGTAATTCATGTTCCTAACTAAATGACACTTAATCCCACATTTAGGATGTTTAATCAATGGTGATTCGATGTTTTAGTGCGTGGATGCTGAAAAATGCCTGGGAACGAAGCTAGATATATCAACAGAGAATGGCTCTGTTAAACTTGGGAGCAATTACTGTGAGAAAGCCACATTCACTACTTTAGATGGGGACTTGAATCTCAGTAATCTTCACATGGATAACAGCATCGATATCAACGGGAAAGGGAGTTTAAATATTTGTAAGTTATTTTCTACAACCTCTGAGTATTCTCAAGTCGAACGCATTGACGTTACCCAACCATTCCAAGATAAAATTAAAAAATTGAATTAATTCATCAATCAATTGGTTATAGAATATAAAATAATGAATAATATAAATACTACATTATTTAATCTCTCTATATAAAAATTTTGTGAATTAAGGGGTCATTCTTCTATATAATCCACCACGATCATTTATGAAAGGCCACTAAATTCGGTATTTCTTTTTTTAATTAAATCATATTGCATTCAGATTCTCCTATTCTTAACTTCAAAAATGTGAGATAATCTCATAATTCCCGCTGTTAACTCTAATCAACTTTGTTCGAAGAAAACCTTATTAAACGCAATATTAAGAGAGTATAATTATTCTATTTTCCTCCGACCTAAACGATTTGGCCAATTATGATTCGTTTATTCATGTTTCATAAAATGGTATTCAATTCTCTTTCGTTTGTTAGGCGTGCTTCATGAAAATTCAACGCAAGACGGTTGCACTCATGAAAATAGTCTTACTTTCTCCATTCATTCGAGATATTGCCCATGCTTTTTTTAAAAACGATAAATAATACGAACACTTAGACATACCCAAGTCGATTGGAAGGAGCGAAGCCCTCTAGTAATGTCACAAAATTACCTGATCAATTAATTAAAAAATATTCCTCAGCTTGTTTCGACGGATCCCTCCAAGCAAATCTCGGAGAAGGTTCAGCGAAAATTCAACTAGCAAGAGTCACCGATGACTCCACCATCACCTCGAACGGCGACGTAAGTCTCACGATACCAGACAGCCTGGACACTAAGGTCGTAATAAAGTCCCCGGCCCTGGAGATAGATCAGTGCATAAAAGGAACTTACGACAAAGACAGGAAAGAGTTCATAGGGGGGAGAGGGGCCACGACCTTCACCGTGGAGTCGACCAAGAGAGTGCAGGTTCGGCAGTCGAGTTGGATGGACACTTTTAAACTCCAGAACACCCCGAAATAGCAGGATAGGATGAAATGAGATATAGAGTTATATGTACAATTTTATTAAAGTTATTTATTTTAGTTCACACTGTTGATGCTCGCCTCGAGGAATCCATCGCTATCCTCACTGTCTGATGAGGCTCGAGTCGCGCCGAGGCTGTGGAGAGATGGTCCTGTGTGGACAATGGGGGCACTTCCCAGACACTCGTCGTTCAAGTACAAAACGACGAACTGAAAGAATTTAATGAATTTCAGTGAGTGGTGACTGGATCGTCACTATGCCTCTGCCTAGAATAGTTACACACACAAAACGTGTAAAATTCCTTAAAGAGAAATGATCCTTCCTTGAAATTATCCTAAATTTCCGGAATCAGTTTATCTCGCTTGCACAGAAGATTGAAACCTAATCCTTAACGTTACGAATCATAAACATTTGACAAAATATTGTTCTGATAAAAATGAAATCAGATAACTTAAATCGATGAAGGGAAGAATAATTAAATTCTCTCACTTGTCCTGGGGATATCGCTCTCTTCTCCCTCTCCGAAATGATTATCAATTTATCACTCAACGATTTGTAAACTATACATGGACAGAGCTTCTCGTTACGTTGGAACCGATATTCACAGTTGAGGATTGTCCAACTGTCGATCAATTGCTCTGGCTCTTCACGAATCCAGTGGGGCTTCGAGGTGACGAGAATTCTCGAGAACAATGCTGGGTGATCTGTTCCTGGGACCTGAAATCATCAAATACTCTAAAAACTCGCTCATTCTCTTCATTAATTCATCTGATTTTTCGAGTGTAAAATTGAAAAGAAAAAGAAATTTCACTTCAAGTTCATTTTTTTTATGAATATTTGGAATCTAAAAGCGAATAGTATTTTTTCTTTTTCTCTTGTGTTAAAAAAATAACCAGAAATTCACAAAAATTTAATGGAGATGAACATAATTTAAAGAGAAATATAGCAGATGAAGAAAAAAATATAGTAATAATGGACAAAATTCTTGCAATTTTACTCACAACCAAAATGTCATTGGTCTTGACATCCTTCCTTAAGACAAAGAATTTCTCATAGGCCCCTGCAATTCGACACCTCTGACCCAACGTCCAATAGTGGATCCCCTGATGCTGGGCAACCACCTCCCCCGTGTCGTAATTCACAAAATTCCCAGGTTTATTCTCCAAATACTTGAAATAAGAATCAATCCCCCAATTAAAATCCATTCGATGCTCATTCGGGTTCGGTATTTTTGGCCCAAAGTTCTTTCGTCCAATTGCTGTTCATCCAACGTCAATTCGTCCAATGCTTATAGTTTAATTTATTTTCGTCCATTTTTTTTCTAATCAAATTGTCGTCTAATTGTTTAGAAAAATGCACCCGAGTAAATGATGTAAAATATTCATGTAATTTATTTATGAACGGAATCAACGAATATTTTCCCGAGAATATTTTGTTTGTACATACGAGATTATAATTGATAAAAATTGACACTTTTAAAATACTCCACTCACTTTAAAAATATTTTTCATCCGGTGATGATCCGGTGTTTCTGCTGACTGACATTTTGACTATTTACATGTTTTCTGTGCAATCTCTGCGCAATTGTTTTATTTATTGCTGTATTTATAGTTTTATTTATTATCTAAATTTACTGAAACCTGTGAACTGTACCCACTGCCATCCAATTTACCGCCACTCATTCTTGAATAAGATGTACACCAGCCTTCCTGATTTCTTCTCAATAAAGAACTAATAATAAATAATACTATGCGTTCCGACACTAATATTCCTAGAAATAGTTTGGCGATAAGCTAAAATAATTTGGCTAAACGTCGCACTATGAAAATTTAATCAACGTCGTAATTATTTCTCCGATATCCCCAGACTTTTCTTAAATGAATTAATATCATGTAGATGAGAGCAATCATTGAGTGGACAAAATTTTTTAGAGCAGGTGGTTTTTGTACGAAAAGTATACTTGAACGATGGACCAAATGACCCCAATCCCCCTTTCCACTTCTACATTATCTTCTCATACGTGTGGAATAAAATTCTGAAAAGTTCTCGTTCCAATGAAGCAAATTCCCATGCTCTCAGGTTTCTGTGCAATTGCCCTTAGATCAGCTTCAATCGCTAATTTCTTCACATCTGACTTCAGCAATCCCCCGACAGGGAACATGCACCTCTGGAGGGACTCCTGGCTCACTTGAGACAGAAAGAATGTCTGGTCCTTCTTCCGGTCGACTGCATGCAGCAATTTCATCTCTGAAAGTGAATTCAAAGGATGACATCATCCACTCATCAATTCCAATTAATTTTGATTCATTCATTTCTTGATTTTTATTCTTGTGAGGCAATGCAAGAGGCAGAAATACTTGCTGGCGCCTGGTTTATAATCCTCCAGATAAGGACCGAATGATGATATCGCGTAATGTCCAGTGGCAATGGCATCAGCCTTCAAGTTTTCCCTCGCGAAATCGTAAAATTTTTTGAATTTTATGTTTTTGTTGCACATTATGTCAGGGTTTGGAGTGCATCCACTCTCGTAGCTCTCCAGAAGGTACCTATTGAAGTAATTTGAAATTTCAATAGGAAATTGTTGAATAAAAAATGGGATAATTTTTCTTTGATAATTGAATAGCTGTTTTGTGATCCTTATTTTGACCCTGGTGACTTTTAGTTTTTGACCCTTGGTTTGGACCCCCATATCCCTTATTGGAACCCTTACTGTGAACCTTTGATCCTTGTGACACTTATTTAGACCCTTGTGACCCTTAATCTAACCCACATAACCCTCAATCTGACCCTTATGACTCTTATTCTGATCTTCGTGGCCCTTATTTTGACCCTCGTGACCCTTGTGACCCTTAATTTCGGACGGAAGCTGCATTTATCGGTTGAAACGAATGATTAACAAATTAATATCAGAATGAGAATTAATCTCTTAATTGCAATGAATGTTTTGTCGTCAGTTTTAGATGAATATCTTAGAATCCAAGAGAGATACCGATAATCCTCAAACCATCAATATCTCCCGAACAAATGATGTGAGTGAGATAAATAAAATCTCATTCCAAAGTCCCAAAAAACCCTCAAAATGAAAAAAATGCATCAATTTCACTCTGCGCATCTTGAGTTACTGATGATGAAAAAATCTAAAAAAAATTATCCACTAAAATTACTCACGTGAACACCTCGTGCCAGTACTCCTTGACGAAATTCACCTCCACAAGAGGAATATTAATCTTCCTAGCGACATACTCAGCATCTTTGTAATCCTCATCAGCGAGACACTTCCCAGTCTCGTCTGCAGTGTCCCAATTCCTCAAAAACACTGCGGTCACGTTGAATCCTGTGAAGACAATTCTAGATTCATGAGACAACGTCGACAATCATTAACTAATGTAGTGCCTAATGATTTACGTTAATAATTACCTTTACGTTTTAATAATAATGCGGCAACAGCACTGTCAACACCACCAGACAACCCAACCACAATATTTCTAAACATTATTATTCAGTTTCACACAAAATGACTGTTGAATAATTTTATTTTTCCCAAAGCTTTGAATCTTTCATTCATAAATGCTATGAATGATGAATCGCTCAATTGTTCCTTGAAGAATTAAGAATGAAACGAAATAGTTATTTGATCTGTGTTCATGCCTCCAAAATATTCCATTGAAATCGAATGGAATTCCCTTAGATTTCGCTGTATTCAATTCACCTGGAACCCCCTAGATTCCTCTTTTCCCATCGCACGAAATGACAACAGAACAATTTTATTTCTCTAAAAATCTCAAATAAAACGTATAAATGATGATTTCTTGAATTATCTTTTGAATAACAATGCAAAATGATAAAAATAATTGTATTTAGTGGATGTTTATGCCTCAAAAAAAGTCCATTCACATGAAATCGAATGGAATTTCCCCTAGATTTTCTTGGTTTTCATCCGTCGGTTAGGCTGGTTCCTCCAAAATGGTTAGAACCCCCCACCCCCCGGGGCAACGCTAAATCACCGGTATTGCCTCGTGCAGCCCGCGTCTTGTGCATGTGCGTGGAATCATGGCCCTAGCTGCATCTGCCTTCGGGCTTTATCTGGGAAATACTTCCTCCTGTCTCGCCATTTACAAAGTAAGTGCAAATTATTCACGTTTTACAGGCATTTCTACTCGTCATTTCGAGTCGGTGGTGATTTTCTTGAGGATAAGTTCGGTTTCTAGGGTTGAGACTCACGTGTCAATCATACTTTTGAAATTTAGGAAGGGTTTTCTTTCAGTTCTCAACGAAAAATTATCGAACATTTCGGTTTTTATTTAGGATGAGAATGTGGATGTCGTTGCCAATCATGCGGGGGACAGAGTCACAGCTGCTGTCATCGCTTTTCACGAGACCGAACAGGTGAGTTGGGAATGTTTTGGGGGATAGGTTAGGAATCAAAACATTTGAGGTGGGATTTAGGACGGAAAAATGATGAGATGAGTTCAAGAATTTTGCTGATACCTCGGGAACTAGGAGGTTTAGAGGAGAAAGTCAAAAGGAATTTTTTGTGGAGCATTAAATTTTCCACAAAAATTGTCTTGTGACATTTGTGATGAACTAACCTTATTGAGATGATTTAACATCTGATGATCAACTTCAGATCACTGCGATTCTGGCATTTTTGGTTGATTTTGATATTATCTGAGGGGCAGGGGTTTGACGAGAGAATGTTTAGATTTTTTTGGAGCATGTTAAATTCTCTTTTCGGATTCTCTACAAGAGCCTCCAGACCCGAACCATATTTACTTTATTATTTTCGTCAAGTAACAAACAAATTTCATTCAGTCGACTTTCAATTTCAATACATTAAATAGTTAATTAACTGTTTGAATGGATAATTCATTAATTATTCAAGTCACTTCATAATAATTTCCAAAATTCTCCACTTGCTTTTAATTGTTTTGATTGTTTACAAAATCAGGGGCAATGAATTAATGACAGAATAGTCCTCTGGAGGTGGACTATTAAATTTTATAGACAATTTAATTAAATTGTTAATTCACTGTTTTAATTATTAATTGTTAATAGATAATTCAATTATTCAAGCCACTTCATAATAATTTTCAACAAATGCTCTCAAATGCCTCGACAATAACAAAAAAAAATTGTCATTCTAGATAATAGGGGCAGCAGCAAAATCAGGTTTATTCCGAAACGCCGCAATAACCGTCCTAAACAATAAACGCCTGATGAACAAAGAGATAGACTCGAATGAGTTAGATACTGCCATAAAAAAGAGCTCAGTCCCAATAATAACAGAGTCAGAGCTTCAGTATTCAATCACAGTAGGTGATAAAATCGAGAAAATTACCCCGAAAAAGATATCCTCATTACTCTCAGGTGCAATGTACGATATATCCACGACAGCAGCTCATGACGACGAGGAGCACAACGTCGTGTTGTGCGTCCCTCACAGATTCAATAGCGAGAGTATCCAAGAGTGGAGTGATTCAGCAGCTAGTGCTGGGTTCAAGGTACTTCAGGTCATTGCTGAACCCGTGGCGTCTTGCCTCGCTCATGGGTTGGGGAAGAACAAGAAGGAGTCAGAGTTAGTAAAATTTTGAATTTTTTTTGTCTTCATTTGCCTTCAAATAAAGTCCTCATGAAAATTGCGGGAATGTGTAATTTTGCTCACTTCTTAAATAAATTCTCACATCACAGAAAAAGGAATATTTTTTGTTTTAGGATTTCATAAGTCTTAAAATGAGATTTTTTAAAAACCTTGATTTGAGTTTTCACAAACATTTTAGGTTGAACCTCGGAAGTCCTAATGTACGACTTCCAAATCCTAATTAAAATGTTAAAAGCTTAACTTACGACTTTCAAGTTCTAATTTAAAATTTTCAAATCCTAATTTAAGATTTTCAAATTTTGATTTGAGACATTCAAATCTTAATTTAAGATATCTACATCTTCATTAATAACTTTCAAATCCTAACTTAAGACTTTAAAGTTTTGATTCAAGTATTTTAAGTCTTAATTTGAGACAACAATTTTAATTTAAGACTTATAAGTCTCAATTTAAGACTTTAAAGTTTCAACTTGGAACTCAAGTCTCACCTTGAGACCATAAGTCTCAAAATAATTTTTTGCGCGCTCCTTTACCTTTCTTTCGTCTCAAATTATTTTTTTTAGTGCTCCCGAATTTTAAGTCTTAATTTAAGACTTTCAACAGTCTCAACTTACGACTACCAAGTTTTAATTAAAAATTTTCAAGTCTTAATTTATGACTTTCAATTTCTAATTTAAGATTTCCAAGTCTTAATTTGAGACATAAAAATCTAAATTTAACCCTTAAAAATCTCAATTTAAGACTTTAAAGTCTCAACATAGCCTCTAGTCTCACCTTGAAACACATAACTCAAAATAATTTTTTTTGTGATTCCCTTCTCTCATTAATCGCGGAAAATATCTTGTAGGCTTGTCCTAGTCTACCGAGTAGGTGGCGTATCAAGTGACGTAACCCTGGTCAAAGCAACCGGTGGTGCATTCACGATACAATGCACTCAGTACTACCCCTCCCTAGGCGGTCACAAGCTCACAGATCTGTTGACAACCTACTTAGCTGAGGAATTCCGAAACAAATACAAGATCGACCCAACCGAGAGTCGTAGATCAATCTCAAAACTGAAGATCGAAGCGGAGAGATGCAAGCACGTTCTCTCGACGATGTCCACAGCCCACCTCTTCGTGGAGTCCCTCTGCGAGGGTGTGGACTTCAGTCACAACATCACGAGAGCCAGATTCGAGAATCTCATAGGGCCCCACATCTCCGAGTACATCCAGCCGATTCAGGATATCCTCAACAGCACATCTCACACGATAATGGACATCAGGAAGATAATCCTCTGCGGTGGAACAATGAAGATCCCAAAGCTCCAGGAGAAGATTGGCTCGATATTCCCCTGCGGAGAGGTCTTGTCCTCCAGGTGGAGCCCTGACGAGACAATGGCCATAGGGGCTGCAATGCACTCGTCCCTTCTCTTATCCCAAGGAATTCACGATCGTGACTTGAATTCAACGCATGTCGAGTTGTATGCCCTAGGCAGATCGATCTGCCTGAAATTTGAGGATATCGAAACTGTGATCATTCCTGAGGACACAATCGTGCCCATCAAAATTCAGACGATAATTGACATGCCTGAAATCACGGGGGAGAAAGTACGAGTGAATATTTTCGAGGGCGAGGACAACGGCAATGAGATTACTAATCAAATTGGACTGGTGGGTTGATCGATTGACATGATTGTTTTCAGAATTATGAGTAACTATGGTTATTGCATTCACAGATTTCTCTTGACGTGAAGAATCCTGGAAAGTACAAGGTCGACACTGATGTGACTGAGGCCTTTTTGAATGTTCATATAACGGAATTGTCAACGGGAAAGAAGTCATCGTTTCGATTTGGAATTCATGAGGATGATTCTTTGTGAATTCCGGCGCATGTACATTATCAATAAAATTATGACTATTTGTTTTGTCGTGAATGATATTTATTTCTTCATCACCAATTTCTGACTAGTCAGAATTTTGTAAATCATGAAGACTTCAAGGATCGACTGATTGATTGAAGGAGTTTATTGACGTTCTGGAATATACAGTATTTCTTAACGAGGGGGTCCTTATGTTCACTTCTTTGCATTTCATTTTCATTTCATGCAGATACAACAGTACATAACCAATTACAGAATCAAAATCATATAGGCATATAATAATTAAATTAATGAAGTCAACAGTTCAAAGTAACACTCATAACGGAAAGAATTATTTATATTCTTTATATTTTTAAATCCCTAGACTACTTGCTCTATCTTAATGATTTAATAAAAAAATACTCATTTTTTTGCTATTTGTTTTTCGTTTTATTATTTTTTCTTAATGATTTAATTACATTACAATGGTTTTTAGATGGCTTTGCACTGCTATATTTATTTTGTCATTTGTTATATTATTTATTGTTGGGCTAATGTTTTAGGGATTTTTCGTGTTTACCGACTGCCGAGGCCATTCAAAGAGCAAATCAACATCTCCTTTTTCTCTGAAATCGTAGTTAATGATGTTCAACTTCATGTTATTCACTCAAACAATGCTGGTAAAATTGTCATCTACGGTACGTTTTACTGACACGTTTCAACAGTTCCTCATCCGCATGGAAAAAATATATCCGCAGATATACCTCAAATATGTCCCTTATGTCCACGGCAAATATACAATACCCGCGGTATAGGCTGCCTACAAGTGTGCGGATATATCCGCGAACTTATCTCGCATGTCTCAGATATGCTTTTTCCCACCTAGGTTCCATGGAATAATTCATTTAATAAAATTTATGGAATTCCAACTCGATGTAATTTCAATCATTTGTAATTCCTATTTGTACTGAAATATGTACTACTTTAATCTCTAAAAATACCTTATGTAGTGTTTCGTTTGAAATTTTGCTTCATTAACTTCTATTTACTTTTCTCTTACTTTACTTTATTTAAACATATGGTAAGTAATGTATAATATTTTTCAATTATCCGCTTCCCCTCTCCTTGTATGTCAATTTCGTTGCCTCACATGCGAAAGGTTCCGAGTTCAAATCGCGGCCGGGTAGAGTGGTGCGATCTACCCATTTAGTCTTGATCATCATCGCAGTATACCCTAACCGGGTCGACGCGATGTAAAATACCGATTTAAAAAAAGCGGACGTCAACAGTTCCAGCCGACGCATAAATGACAATTTAACCAGCATTGGGGCCATTTACACTGGGACTTCAAGTCACGCCAAGTACGGCTACAGTTTACGTCCACCTTGGCCCGAGTCTTGGTGAAATGTCGAGTTTAGGTCAAATTTGCGTTTCCACCGAGACTTGAACCGGAGTAGACATAAATTAGTTATACTTGGCGCGACTTGAAGTCCCGGTGTAAATAGCCCCATTGTTTTTACTGCACTCCAAATTCCTTTGATTCATCCCTGAATAACTATAAATAGTGTTGCGTATCCCCCTTCGAACCCTGATTCATTTGTCTATCTTCTCGAGGATATGAAGGAGTCCGTTTGGTAACGACTGTCTTCTGGATAACTTCGTTATTTGACGTTTGTCTCCTTGGAACTCTCAGTGATGCCGCGAGAGACTTTACGAGACCTCACGAGACAATATTTTGGAGGGATCGTCTCGGTCTCAGTGAACGCGGAAATTTTTGGTCTCATCTCAGTCTCGAAATACGCAGTATCGACTGCTGTCGTGGTGACTCCGAGTCAATTTATCTCACCTCGGAGACGAGACAAGATGAGATAAATTGTCCACTGATAATTTCCCCGGACTTCATCGAGCAATTTCCAGAACCGACTTACAGCGCTATGAAAAGGATATTTATAGTCTAAACAAGTGGCAACGCCGCCTGATAAACTAGTCTATGACGCGAGTTGGTAGCATTGTTCGTGCGACTGTCTGAGATATCCGAGAGCTGCGACGTTGCCGCATGCATGCGGGCGCAGGAATATTGTAATGTAGAAGAGAAATCCAAATAATTTGTAACCATTTACTCGATTGGTCGCTGAGGAGAAACAGTCTCACATTTCTTGCAAAGAACGCTGAGCTCAAATTACACTTCTGACACCAATTGAAATGCACGTGGACGTAAAATAAAAATTCCCGTTCGAGGAACGTCGCAAGAGACTTCTTCAGATCCAATTACTTTCGAAATCGATAATCGGAAAATATCTTCCTGTATTTTTCCTCGAGTGGCAATTAACCCTTAAGGGGTAACAGTAGGCTACCGTTTTCTCGAACTTCTCAAACAAATTTCCTGTTCAAAGTTATTAGGATTTTTTGAACCCAAAGCACATTGAGCTTCATCATCGCCTCCTGGAGATTAATGTGCTTTGATTTGTAAAAATATCAATAACTTTGGGCAGGAAATTTGTTGAAAAATTTGGAAAATTGGCCGCATTCTGGTACCCCTTAAGTAGTTGCAGCTTTCTCCACCGAACGTAAGAGAATCCCCGCCCCGAGTATTTTACGATTTCGAGAAAAAAAATTGGAACAAAAAAAATTATTCCACATTCACAGGTAATTTTGAGCGTCCAATGAATAGGAAATAGAAAAAAACTATAAAAAAAATATACAACAGTAAAATTATACAATATAATTAGTAGAGCAACAATTTTCAGTATTGCACATATTTATGAAAAAAAAATCAATGCATGCCCCATGCATTCCAAGCCGAAATGTGACAATGTCTTCAGCAAATATCGACAATTTTCCAAAAAATTGCCGTTATCACGCGAGATTTCAAGACGATGACCTCATCAAAAATCGCTCGTCCCTACGAAATATGAGCGACGCTTAGCTTTTATCCCGTCGCCATATTGGATGACGTCATAGCACGAACAGTAGAGGTCACAACAAAATGGCCGCCGAGAATGCCTCAGCGATATAAATGGACAGCTATGGCGAGGCTCGACGCCACCGCTCTCTCCTTCACACTTGGAAAGGTCATCGCCATTTCTGCGACGAATTATCATGAATCCTTCATCCGCTGATATTCCCGCATTGCCAGACCGACGAATATCGCTTTTATCTGCCTGTTTATCCTCGCATTCTCAAGGAACTGAACCTTTTCCTCAATTTTTATGGGTCAATCTGACGAGAACAGTGACCCCCAGCCATAGATATCAAACAATGTCTCAATCAATAACCAAAGAACTTCATTAGTTATCGATCAATCCGGCAACCCAGCCGACAACTCCCGTCCCTGGAATGCTCTCCGAACAATTTTTCTGATGCAAAAAATAATTACGGAAAATTCTATATTCGCCATAGGATCGATAAGGCATTTCGATGCGGAAGTGGATGATACGTGTCTTTCAGCGAGAAACTCCCCTCCCAACGCCATTACCCAATCCGCCATTATAATTTTCAGCTAAAAGAATTTTTTTTTCGCCGAGTGAAGAAAAAGAAAATGAACAAATGGGCTCGCCCACTTCAGAATTGGGATTACGTGGCGCTGGCGTCGAGCAGGGCTATTATAAAAATTGGAAGTGGAAGGGGCCTTAAGCCGCCATATATAGCTAGCCCCATCCGCTGAATTTTTACAAAAATTCAACAATTCTGCGACTCAACTGATCCCTGCCATGATTAAAAATTATGAAGCATCGTTTTTTCACGGATTACAATGAATTTCAGGGCTGATCTAACCCCTGGACATCCTAATTGAGCCCATTATCTCGATGTTGAAGTGCTGAAGTGCCCCCGATTGAAATCGCTCGTTGGGAACCGCCTGACGATAGGTCGAGCGCGTTTCTCACCCAGCCATCTTGGGTTCTTGGTTCGTATAGTCGTGCAACGGCACTGCCCGGAGAAGGAGGGGGCTGTCAGTCACGATACGTCAAAGCTATAGTCAATCCAACCGCAGTTTCATTTTTTTTTTACCTTTTGTTTGGTGAAAACTATTTTGTAACCTTTAAGTGCGGGAGGATCTCGAGCCCTAGCGACAATATAAATGTTCAATACGGGCATTGATGTGGTGAAGCATCCTGTATGAACCGATTGAGTGAGTGGTTATAACCTTGGGGCAAAATTTGGTTTAAACCGCCCGTGGGTTCAATCGTAGTCAGCACGGGCTTGTGCGCGGGGTTGTTGGTGTCGTTTGACCACTCACGACTGCGTATTCCCTGAATTGTGAAGGCAAAAAATTGTCCATTGGCGGTACAGTGGTGATACAGCGCCTAGACAACAGTGACTTCTGTGCATATGTGTGTTACTATTTTTCCCCCCTTGTTATTTACCGTTTGGAATTGAAAAAATCACTGTTTTTCCCCTTGCGTGTACTATTTCGACACAAAATGGGTTACAATGCGTGTGTATTTTGTGGCTGTGTTAGGCGTCAGTGATAATGGTACGCGTGCAAGTCGACCGTCAGTATCAGAAAGCACAAAAAGAAAGTGCTCTGAGCTACTTAGCTACCAACGAATTTCAGAGCTAAACTTGTTAACGGGAATAGGTAAGATTTACTTGTTTTTGGGGATTTTTTTTACCAAATTTCATGGCTCTTACATATTATGTATGTTGAAATAAATTTTATGATCAAAACAAGTGATTTGATTATCGGGTTTTTCAACTTTTTTCGAGTTTTTGTTTCTGCATTCAGTTGTTGGTTTTTCATTGGCGAAAGGACGGGGGATTTTTTTCAGTCTTGAATTTAATTGACGATGAGGGCCTGATTAGATTTTTCGATTTACTTGGAGTGGATTTTTTCGTCCTGACGATTGGCGAATCCATGGGAATTGGAGTTAGAGCTGGATCAATTGTTATTGAGAAGCTAACGACTCCAGATGATACTCAAATATCCAAGTTCAATTTTTGGTGATCAATATTAGCTTTCAGTCTTGGAACTAATCAGCAAAGATGTTGTTCTGAGACTAGACGTGTTTGACGATTAATTGAGATCAATCGGTCATATTGATTTCCATTAAATTCACAATGCAGAGCATGACTGAAAATCCTGAGAGCCTGGTAGTTTCAGCAAGTTTGGATGCACTTGCCAGAAGACTAAACAAATTTTATTGAGAATGCATGAGAAACTCGAGACTGTTCCCACGGTACAACGAAGATCCTATGAATGAGTTTCATAAGGAAAAGAAATTACTAATAACACGGGTAATCGGGTGAAAATGGGCCTTTTTCAATTGTCAGAGTGGTTTATCCCTCGATGACGCTGGGTAATATGAGATCTCCAAAATGTGCCATTCCAGATTTGTCCAGACGAAGCAAAAAAACAACGAGAAGATATCAGGAATTCGCGGATGATATCGTAACATTCAGCAATATTCTTCGTATTTTTCCATCAACAACTGACAAGTTTTACTTTTCCCCGCAAATTTTTCGCCCCAATTTCTTAACAAAGGTCATAAGGGTCACTAGGGTCCGGTGCATAAGAGCCAAGGTCACATCAATCCTTTATTCCAGACAATCTTTGCTCATCTCTTTTGCAAATCCACTCCAATTTTAAATCGTCTGTTGATTCCAAGTATTGATGATTGAAAAAGGTCCATCTTGCCCCAATTGCGGTTGCCAAACGAAGAAACGTTCACAGCCTGATCAATGTTCAAAGCAAATACAGATAATCCCTAGACGACTAGACGACTTTATATGGTCAATGTAAAAAGTCGAAATATTGATTTGTCAGGAAGCGATATCGAGCTATGTTGATGGTGAAAAAATGAGGTTCTCGGCTGTTCAAGAAGAGGATGGGTATGGGGTAGGACTGGGGCAAGAGAATCTTGCCAGTGATGTAGATGTGAGTATGATGGCTGCCGCTGGTGAAACACAGCCAGATGGTAAAACCATGGTTGACGAATCCTCGATGACCTACAATCTTCCATTGTTATTTGCCAATGGTTATCCGACTTCGTTAGAGAAAATTTCACTGGTAATTTCCATTAATCATATCATCCATATCAGCGTTATTGGACACTGCTCATGGACGTTTTGGTTATTAATTCACAGAATGAGTTGGAACGTTTCATAACATTCATGGTTGAATGTTCATCAGATCCACTGTCGACTGGGCCTGCCAATCCACCCCAGTGGTGGCCCAAGGAAGTCAAATTTTCAATTCCATTTGTACGACCTAAGAGAATCAATGACGTAAGTACCGTTGTTCATTAATAATTCATCAGCTTCATTATTTTGGACCATTTCTCCCGAAAAGGAAATATGAAATTCCGTATTCCAAACAATCTCCGATTGCGCGTCGTCCAACGGAAGATGGGGATTTGCGTTGAAATTACTCCTGAATGTTTATAAAGTATCAACAATCGACGCGAATTAATCGGTGAAAAATATGTGAGGTGACTCGATATGCGATAGATGAATCAATCCGAATGTAGACGAATTTAGTCTCCCGTAAATGTGGGCTTCTAATCCCTCTGGGCTCCCTGCGACGCCGTGCTCGCGTCCACTAACACGGAACTCGATACGACCTGGACAAAATGGCCGCCGGCTGAGGTGGCTCAGCCACGATCAAGATTATGGATCTTTCGGGTCATCGGGTTACTGGCATGCGATAGCAGCTGCTTTCTTCCGTGGAAGGTATCGAACGAGTCTCATTAAATTACGAATGTCCAATGCGTGGTTTTCGCGTAATATTTGCGAAGAAAATTTGAAATTTCGCGGCGGTTGGGGAATTGATTTGAATGCTCGAGAAATTTGGCAACGTCGCGTGATTTCCGATGAGGCATGCGTCACTCGTAGTCGCTTCGGCTTTATTCGAGAACATTCAGCCGAATCAACGCATCGTTGCGACATTTCGACGAAATCGAAATTTTTTTTCTGAATAAGAGACTAATTATAGTTCTGTCCAAGACATTCCGGCCCTTTTTCGAATTGCGTTATCAATGGAATGAATTCTGAAACTTTGGGAACGTCGCATGACCTCCAACTATGCACGCCGCACCCGTAGTCTCCTCGCAGTATTCGAGAGTATTCAATCGACTCAACACGATGTCGCGCCCTTTCAGCGCATAGCGGTTATACAGGGTGTCCCAAGAATCACATTGGGAATAAATCGCCCATATGTTTGGCATTGATAATACGCGATAGAAGATGTTAACAAATTACTGCGAATTGAATTCGCAGGAGAATCGATTCTAAAACTCGCGACGTTCGACTAATTTGGTAACGTGGCGTGATTTCCGATGGCGCATGCGTCACTTGTGGTCCCCACCGCATTATTCGGGAATATTCAACCGACCCAACGCAATGTTGCGACATTTCGACGAAGTCGCGATGAGATTGAATTATTCACAATTTTTTAACTGAATAAGGGATTTCAATTATGCCCTTTCTTCGAATTCCGTTATCAATGGAATAAATTCTGAAACTTTGGCAACGTCGCTTGACCTCCAACTATGCATGCCGCACCCGTAATCCCCTCGCAGTATTCGAGAGTATTGAATCGACTCAATAGGGCGTTGTGCCCCTTCAGCGCATAACGGTTATACAGGGTGTCCCAAAAATCACATCGAGAATAAATCGCCCCTATATGTTTGACAGTGATCATACGCGATAGAAGATGTTAAGCAGAATCGATTCTAAAGTTCGATACGTTTGACAAATTTGGCAACGTGGCGTGATTTCCGATGGCGCATGCGTCACTCGTGGTCCCTTCGGCTTTATTCGGGAATATTCAACCGACCCAATGCAATGTTGCGACATTTCGACGAAATCGGGTTGAGATTGAATCATTCACAATTTTTTAATTGAATACAGGATTTTAATTACTTTTTCAAGTGACGTTTTTAACCTTTACATCGAACCCCTCCGAAACCGTGCGTTTACCATACCTCGCGGTCTGTCAGACCGCTACTCCGTCTGGATCGCATTTCCCGTTTGTTTGAGGGAATGAATCAATACTTTTTGTAACTAAAGGTTCATATGAGGGCTAAAACGGGGAAAGATCACACAAAGATAAGTTGAAGAATGGAAGGGTCAAACGGGGAAGGGTTGAACAGAAGAGGCGAAACGCATGAGTATATTCAATTTAATTTTTTTACTTCGCACATAAATGTTTGTTATAAATATTTTTTTATATAAATCTCACTCGTTAATCCTCGATTATCAAACTAACAAAGATATGGTAGTCACTATGAATAATCGGTGCTACTTATCATTTTTTATCAATTCCCTCAGGGACTAAACTAGAAGAAACATTGATGGTTTCATGAATTTATCGGGGCGAAAAAAAATCGAAAACGTTTTGCATCGATTGTAATCGATGAAATAGGAAGCTACTGGAAGTTTGAAATTTTTATCTTACATTTATCAATATCAATAGTTATACACTGTGAAAGTTTTAATAGTAGTCTCACAGACTGGGAGTTTGGCATAAAGGTAAATGGAATAAATTCTCTGAAACTTTGGCAACGTCGCATGACCTCCAACTATGCGCGCCGCACCCGTAATCCCCTCGCAGTATTCAAGAGTATTTAATCGACTCAGCACAACGTCGCGCCCTTTCGGAGCATAGCGGTTATACAGGGTGTTCCAAGAATCACATTGAGAATAAATCGCTGTTTGATATTGATAATAGGTGATAGAAGATGTTAACAAATTACTGCTAATTGAATTCACAGTAGAACCGATTCTAAAGCTTGCGCCGCGGAAAATTCGGCAACGTCGCATGACCTTCGTCGATGCGTTATCTCCAGTCCCCTCGGCTGCATCCGAAGTATTTAGCCGACTCGACCCGACATCGCCACCTTTCTACGAATTGGGGACTATTATAAATACGTCAGGGGGAGTATAAACCGGAATAAATGAAGTTCCAAATTTTTAATAATCATAATTATACAATCCAGGTCTATTTCTTTCAGTATTATTTTTCTTACCATAGAAAATATCATTTTCTCTCCATTTTCCATGAGACCACTGTGCAACCAGAATATAAACCGGGAGATGGGGTGCATCCGTTATTTATCTGCAGTACATAGTCCGAATTATGCATACACTTGGTGGTCACCTCGCTTTAAAACATTCAATAACTCGAGCGTTGTCTGATGAAAAATTCATTCCTATGCTAACTGGAAATAAAAAAATACGGCGCCGCGACGCGACTGATCGTGTCATGGAAATATTTGACACGGCGTTGCCACACTTGTGGCTGCCGGAAGATCAGCGAGTCCATTCTCCGAGTGAATTGTGGCAACGGTGCGCTCAGATTTACATTAAGGCGCGGCGCCGCCATGCGAGTAATCACGTCGGGCAGTTTCACACGAGTAACGAAGGCTTAACCCTAGATTGGTCACCCTATGAGGGATTCCCCGTCTTTTTCCGTATTTTTTTTACCAGTAAACCATAACTCGGAAAATTCTGAAAAAAATCGACTTTGTCAATCGGAATGTGTAGAATTTATAGTACATTAGAGTACAAGGGCACAAATTTCGTTTTCAACGACTGTGTAGTTTACAGGCCGAGCCGAAGGCGAGGTCTGTACACACATTTGTTGAAAACGAAATTTATTACCGAGTGCTCTATAATATTTTATGTCAAGTCGTGCAGAAGTCGAGTTTCGAGCAGGCTGCGCGAAGCGCAGCGTGCGATAAACTCGACTTATTGCACGGCGCGACATAAATAGTATTTTTATCACTTCTATCGATTCAATAATTAGTCTCAGAGAGAATAATAATGGGAAAGAGAACCCGCAAAAGTGGGAAGTACTGTGACTAGAGTCGTTGGAGGTTTTCGTCGTAGGGCGTCGCCNATCTCCAGTCCCCTCGGCTGCATCCGAAGTATTTAGCCGACTCGACCCGACATCGCCACCTTTCTACGAATTGGGGACTATTATAAATACGTCAGGGGGAGTATAAACCGGAATAAATGAAGTTCCAAATTTTTAATAATCATAATTATACAATCCAGGTCTATTTCTTTCAGTATTATTTTTCTTACCATAGAAAATATCATTTTCTCTCCATTTTCCATGAGACCACTGTGCAACCAGAATATAAACCGGGAGATGGGGTGCATCCGTTATTTATCTGCAGTACATAGTCCGAATTATGCATACACTTGGTGGTCACCTCGCTTTAAAACATTCAATAACTCGAGCGTTGTCTGATGAAAAATTCATTCCTATGCTAACTGGAAATAAAAAAATACGGCGCCGCGACGCGACTGATCGTGTCATGGAAATATTTGACACGGCGTTGCCACACTTGTGGCTGCCGGAAGATCAGCGAGTCCATTCTCCGAGTGAATTGTGGCAACGGTGCGCTCAGATTTACATTAAGGCGCGGCGCCGCCATGCGAGTAATCACGTCGGGCAGTTTCACACGAGTAACGAAGGCTTAACCCTAGATTGGTCACCCTATGAGGGATTCCCCGTCTTTTTCCGTATTTTTTTTACCAGTAAACCATAACTCGGAAAATTCTGAAAAAAATCGACTTTGTCAATCGGAATGTGTAGAATTTATAGTACATTAGAGTACAAGGGCACAAATTTCGTTTTCAACGACTGTGTAGTTTACAGGCCGAGCCGAAGGCGAGGTCTGTACACACATTTGTTGAAAACGAAATTTATTACCGAGTGCTCTATAATATTTTATGTCAAGTCGTGCAGAAGTCGAGTTTCGAGCAGGCTGCGCGAAGCGCAGCGTGCGATAAACTCGACTTATTGCACGGCGCGACATAAATAGTATTTTTATCACTTCTATCGATTCAATAATTAGTCTCAGAGAGAATAATAATGGGAAAGAGAACCCGCAAAAGTGGGAAGTACTGTGACTAGAGTCGTTGGAGGTTTTCGTCGTAGGGCGTCGCCAGTCCCTCTCCAGTGCGTTCCCCCACTCCTTACGTACCTAGTCGGTACCGACTAAGAGACTCGGTAAGAACCAAGGGTTTGACAACGTCGCAGCGCCGTTAACATTGCGGGGAATACCTCGCGACGTGACCAAAGTCAGAGTCAAGTAAGATGACCAGACTAGGGTTAAATCCACGGGAAAAAATCCATCCTATATATCCACGGCAAAAGTTACTGTGGAGCGTGTGAATAGACACTGTCGAAAATTTCCAGAAGCTCTGTAATTTGATTCGCAATCTTCTGCACATGCAAACCAACAAGAAATTCTTTGTGTTTATAGAACTGGATGGGGACCTTAAAGAAACTCGTATACAAATGTTACACATACCACAAGAGCGAGTACTTACTTCGCTTTTGTGCGTATCTCGCCCAATATCCCCGAGAAAAGCTTTACTATGTCAATAATTGGGACTCGACGACGAGCCTTTATCACAAGGGCACTGGAAAACTACTGACTACATTCCGCAATGAGAACATGGTACCCTTGAAAACTGAATAATTCAACTAGTCGTAGAGAATAAATCCATATCCACCCGTAATGACTGAAAATTTCTAGGATTACGATAAAATAGTTGATAGCCCACGTCGATCTCTACTACCCCAGAATCATGCGACATCAAAAACCTTGGGCAAACCGAACAAGCCCAAGGAGCCGAAGCAACGGGCGAAGGATGATTCATCCTTGGTTGTGATACAGCCTTCAATGGAGGAGATTTATCTCTGTGACAACTGTGATGCTGAATTTGGTGATTTGGATCAGATGAAGGTACTTGTAGCTTCCATTGCAAAGAGAGACTTTCCCAGATCTGCCTTGTTATTTCATCCTTTCTAATATTCCTGATTCCTCGGCATTGGCACCCACCTCCCCTTCACCATTCATCTCAAAACCAATATTTGACTGGACCCTAGGATCACGAAAAAATATGCGGCGAACCAGTTCCTAACATCAGTCCACGTCCAGCGACCCCATACGAGCCCATCATCGAACCTGAACTGAATCAGAATCAGTTCTTAGATTACTTCAAATTATCAACACCCACTGCACCACCGAGGTCAGTCTCTTCGGACTCTAGCCTGCCTTCGCCGACGATTCATTGTGAACCTGTTAGAAGCACAAGGCGATTACGAACAGCTGTCAATCTCACGAGGTGTCCAACGATTCCGCTGTCATCGCCTGCTGGTCTCATCATGCTGAAGAAGTCGAAGACGATGACTGAGAGCATTCAGCAGGAACGACTGGACAGGGTGGAGAGACACCTACATGCACCACCTCTCAACAAGTTCAGCAGACCAAAGTGGCTTGATCGGCATGTCGAGTACAATCGGTGGATGGTCAGCTATAAACCAAGCAGGGAGAAATCTGCTCAGGATGACTACGTTCATAAGTATACGTTTGGGGCTTTCAAACGGAAACCTGGTGAGTGATATCTTCAATAAAGTATTCACATGACTTTTGAATTTTTCTCTATCCTTTTATAAAAAAATGCATGTGCAATATCGCGAGCGAATTTCATGGAAGAGAATTGAATACCGTTCAATAATACATGAATAAACGAATCATAATTGTCCAAATTATTTAGGTCCGAGGAAATTGGAATAATTCTACTTTCTTAATATTGCGTTTACTAAGGTTTTCTTCGAAGTTGAGTAGAATTAATAGCTAGAATTATGAGATTATCTCACTGTTTTGAATTTAGGATAGGAGACTCTGAATGCAATATAGTGAAAATGATGATCGATTTTTTCACTTTGAACAAATAATATTAATATCCAAATACTAAATTTCTGATATAAATGAAAAGAAGCTGTGACTCAATATTACAAATTAAGTTTCAATTTTTAAATTGGAGCTGAAAACACGAGATGACAATATTCTAAGCCCGGTATTATATGGATAAGATGAACAACAGATTAGTTGAATTGCCGTGTGAAATAACTGAGAATTGATAACAGTGTGGACACATACTTTTACCAGAGTATCAACAAATATTGAACTCCATAAATTCACACTCTAAAGTGTTCTAAAAGGAATTAAATTATAATTATGATTAAAATATTATTCAGTGTGCGGCGGAATTAGAGCATGAGCAAGTCATTTATTGTAATACGAAAATTTAACGGGTGATGAATTGGGACATGATTTTCATCGGCTGTATTGCGTTTTGCAAAAAAGGAATATCGAATCTTACAGAAAAAAGGACATAATGGCATCAACCGAAAAAGCAAGCGGCCGCGATGGTGCTAGGATTATAAAATTTCCGGTTAAAGTAGCCCACAAAACAGCTAGACTTGACGAATAATGTAAAACATAATTCCAAGTATCTTCTAAATCCTGCGAAACACTGGCATTTCCCAATTTCAAAATGAGTTTCCAGGATCAATATACCCCCGAAAATGCTCAAGCCTCGCTGAGCGAAGCCAAGCGCGCATGTTCCCAACTTCATCCTCCAGCTCACTACAATCAACATCGATTCCCACTAATCGTTTTCCCTAACACAATAAAAAAGTTCTCCAAAATCTATGATGAATTAATAAAAAAAAATCTCCAGCAAAATCAAAAGAGATTACGTAGAAACTTTCCCGATGCACCAACCCCTGCTATCCCAACAAAATCGCCCAACTTTCTCTCCAGTATTTATAGAAAAAGCCCCCAGGAACCCCTTACCCTGAATAATTAATTCACCTCTGTTGCAGCCCTCAGTCTAAAGTCTCAACTGCTCTACATAGCGTGTGGCACCTGCCACGTGAAGCTAGAACGACTGACCCCAGAGAAGTTGGAAGACCTGCAAATGCACCCCTGGAAATATCGTCCACCTCCGCCCAGGAGGATTCCCCCAAGACCCCGACCAGGGCCGCTGTCAAAGGTGAAGCCCCGAAACCTGGTCCTGAAGCGCAACAGCACGACTGAAGTTAATGCTGCATGTTCAGTCATGCCCAAACGCATGGCGAATGGCCTTCTGGTGACAGTGGAGAAAGCTCCAAAGCCAATTCTGCCAACACTACTGAAAAATCCTGTTCATCGTCGTCCAGAGGTGCAGAAGGATATCGTCCTGGTGGACCTGGTATCATCTGACGAAGAAGAGGACACGAGAACGCCCTTTCAGTCTGATGAGAATTGCGATCCTATGTCCACCCGCGAGAATCTCTCGAGGGCAAATTACTTCAAGCCCATTACCCTGAACCCTAGCAATGGCCGATCTCGGTCGCTCGGTTATCAGGGGACGACAGTCAACGATTGGCTGAGGAGGGGAACCCTCCCCAAGGACAACGGAAGGCACAGCAATCCTGTCAAGTATATTGGCAATGTCATAGACACGTCCAAGACATACTCATCGGTTCTTAAGCAATCTCCATAGAATAAACCTCCATTGAAGGCGTGCGAAGGGGACTTCAGTCATTCATAACTTTGGATTGGCTGAGTGAAAATGAAAAGATCTAGAGTCAATTTCAAGGTTCTCTATCCATCTTTGAAGATTGATCGAGTTGTCCGGATTGAATCGTCGGTTCGGAAGATATTGAGGATTGAAGGAGACTCAGCCACAGTCTATTTTTCCTTTCAACCCCAGAGCGCTATTTATTGAGTTTAGATGGTTCTAGAGGACGTTGCTGTTGTGGTGTCAATGATTGGCTGGGAGGGGCCCCTCTCCAAGGACAATGGAAGGCACAGCAATCCTGTCAAGTGTCTTGGCATCGGTTCTTAAGCAATCTCCATAGAATAAACCTCCATTGAAGGCGTGCGAAGGGGACTTCAGTCATTCATAACTTTGGATTGGCTGAGTGAAAATGAAAAGATCTAGAATCAATTTCAAGGTCCTCTATTGATCTTTGAAGATTGATCGATTCGTCCGGATTGAATCGTCGGTTCGAGAGATGTTGAGGATTGAAGGAGACTCAGTCACAGCCTGTCTATTTTTCCTTTCAATCCCAGAGCGCTATTTATTGAGTTTAGACCGTTCCTGTTGCGGTGTCAATGATTGGCTGGGAGGGGAGATTCATCGATTTATCCGGATCGAATCGTTGGTTAAACAGATATAGTCGTCAGTGAAGCCGATGAAATGGTGAAGTCTCATGATTAGTCGACTGCGTACGAAAAATTGTCAATAGATGGGGAAAAATGTCCTGAGGAACATCAAAATGTTCAGAGAATCTCTGAACCTCGTACTACATAAATTAATCTAAAATCGTAGATCAACGCTTGGCGCCAAAAATACTGATGACTTAATTTCAACTCAATCAATTGAAAAACAAAAAATACCAACATGTAGAGGAGAAAATTCTCCATACATTTGAAGTGGCAATGAATGCTCTACAATGAATAGTTTTTACGTAACAAAATCGTAAAGATTTATAACCTTGAATGGTGCCGAACAATCAACTGATCGCCTGCGCGCGCAGCTCAATCGAGGACGCGGATCATTTAGGATCGAAAGGTTTGACAATTTTTTACGCAAAAACTATTCATCGAACAACATTCATATTTTCTTTTTACAATTCATTGCCGAAGCGGTAAAACAATTCATGTTGGTTCAGGCCCCGATGAGTTTTTCAGGAATATCTGCGAATCTAAGGGAGATACCGAAATTCTCGTCAAAACCTCTTTTGTAGTTCTCTTTTTGTTCTACAAAAAAGGTTCTCAGAGAAATTTCGCTATCTCGCTTACATTCCGAGATATTCATCGAACACCAACGCGTGGACGAAATTACTTATGAATTAGTTGAGTTGAACTGAAATTACAGTCGTTTTGGCATGCTCTCCAGGATATTTTTCCTCATCGATTGACAATTTTTCGTGCACAAACGCATTGACATGGGTTGAAATAAAATCTTCCTTGACTGGATTAACATCGAAGATTGAAGAACCCTCATTTGCAGCCTGTGAATTATTTCCTTTCGGTCGTAGAGCGCTATTCATTGAGTTTAGATGATTTTATAGGACGTTACTGTTGTTTTGACGACAGTTTGATTGCATTAAGAATGCAAAACTCTCGTAGAAATTATTTCAAAGGGTCAATGACCCCGACGTTGATGAGCGTTGGACAATATAGACTGTTTTTTCATTTATTTCATTCGTACGGAAGCCCTTTAGTTCTTCCCTTTATCACTTGTTTTTTTTTATTGAATATATATTATATTTTTTCATCGAGAGAGCATTGCAACGTAAACGAATAGTGATGTATGACATTATTCGTACGAAATCATCAGATTGTTAAGATAAGATTACGATTGTCATAAAGTTAGTGGATTTCACGTGGATCCTGATATCAACTTGTGGTCGCTGTATACTTTATGAAAAATGTACATATAAAATAATCCTCATTTGAAATAAATTTGTCTAGATTTTTCATTTTATATGGATTCATTCCAGGGTAGGCTGTCGAGAGTGTCCTATTTCTGGCTTTTTTTTTCTAGGGAAAATTTAGTTATTTATTTTTTAGAGTTCACTGACCCCATGCGCCCCCTGGTGACTCTTAATTCTTTAGGTGTTCGGATGGTAATGCAGATGCACTTAATTTTTTTTTATGATGCAATTTAGGATACAAATTTATTATTTATTTATGTCGTTATTGTAATGTATCGATTATTTACGTGATTCCTTATTTCCATATTTTTCTATATTTATTTTTCGTTCTATTTTTACATATTTTTTGGAACTAGCGGCAAGATTTGGTACTACTGTCACCCAACCTGACCTGAGATTAATGGGGGCAGCACTAATCCCGGAAATATATCTTCGATAAAAATCGTTTAAAAATAATTTTTTCGAGAATTCAATCGATTAGATGGATATGATATTCTGTAATTTATTGATAACCTCTTAATGATGTAATAATGTGATATATTTTGTACTGAAATAAAGGAGTTTGAAATCGAGAGAGGGGAAAAGAATATCTTTAATTGTTGATGAGTCGGGATTGGCTGAGTTAAATTTGAAAAATTAGATGTTGTTTTCAAGGTTTTTTTTATGTTCTTCAAAATGACATGTCATTCATTCCGATTATTTGTTCAGAAGATATTGATTGAAGAAATTTTCAATGAAATGAGGGAAAGTCGAAGGTAAGGCTACAATGGTTGTCTTTGATTAGCAATAACTGGACGTCGGCGGAGTGAAATTAAAAAAATCTAGTTTCATTTCAAAGATATTTTCATGACCTTCAAAATGAAAACAGAATCATCTCATTGCAACGATTCGTCCAAAAGATATTGAACAAAAATTTTTCAAAAGGAAAGAAAGGTCGGAAGTAAAATAAAAATGGATTTTTTAAATGATCAATGAAATTAAAAAATCGAGGCTCATTTTGAACTTCACTTCATACCCTCGAAAAGCGCATTCAAAATAGTCTCATTAATCCCTCAATTTTTTTCAAAATTTCCCTCGATTTTTTGTTAAATACCAAAATGTAGTAAAAGGTTGTAAGTAAATTTTGACAATAGCTCAGTTGTCAATGAATATCTCGGAACCTAAGGCAGATACCACAATTTTTGTTATAACCTTTTTCGTAGACCGAATATAGACCTCCAAAAAAGCTAATCACAAAAATTTCGCCACCTCCCCTAGATTGGGAGATATTCCCGAAAAACAACTGAGAGCTGGGGAGCGATTTTGCTCGTTTTATGTCGACATAAAATCATAAATTTCAACCAATCCTAGTTGAGTATTTCGAATTCAGGACTGTCATTGGTTGAAATTTACGATTTGATGTCGACATAAAACGAGTAAAATCGCTCCCCTGAATTCAAACCTTCCCGCTCCCTGAACCCAACCCAACCCAATGAGCCGCCCGCCACATCCGCTTCCGTTATCGACCCCGAAGGTCCGCCATCAGCCAACACTCTCCTACCTCCCAATGCTCTCGCCGTGTGTTCGATGCACAAGCCCCCCAACGTAAGCGTGAGAGAGAAGTGCGGTGTTGCGTGACTGCGAGATTTGGCTGCGAGTTTCCGAGCGTGTATGTTTGTTGTGTTGTTTCGAGTTGAAAAATAATAAATAACGAGCGAAAGAGTAATATTAATATCCCCAAAGTCCCCCGTCCCACCGTTTCGCCACTGAATACGCTGAAAAAGCCCCGCTATTTCATGCCCAACGGGAAAAAAAATCAAAAAATCTGCGTAGTAAATGGAAGCACCCAGACCCTAGCAAATACCGAAAGCATAGCGAGAACGTGAGACAAGCCAACAACCAAAAAAGTGTTGTATATGAATACATATATAAATAACTGAGCGCGTGAGTGAGTGAACGATTTTCGTGAGGCATACAGCATTGTCCAGAAACAGGAAGGACGAGGCAATAGTTTATTTAAAGAGAGCATCGAATTCAGTTGGGAATAACAGATACTGTGGCGGGCAGAAAAATGTCGTCGTACATTCAAGTTGCTGAGGACGAGGGTGAGGAGCCCATAGAGTTACCCACTGAGGACGACATTACACTACTGTTGACTACTTTGGCTGCCCAATTTCCCGGTACCTGTGGACTCAAATATCGCAATCCCGAGTCGAGGAGCATGCGGGGCGTTAGGCTTGTCGATGGAAGACTTCATCCGCCTGAGAGTGGCTGGGGAAAGGCTGTCTATTTCTGCGTTTTTCCAAAAGGTAGACGCCACTGGCGCCCGACGCTGGGGAAGGGGGAGGGGATGTTTGGCTTGATAATAGATATTTTTTTGTTTTTTTGGGGATTAGGGGGGGGATGAGGATGTGGAGATTTTTGGGAGGGGGGAGGGCTTTTAATTGTAGATCATTTGAGATTGGGCGCGTGGAATTTCGCGATTTTTTTTTTGGTTTAGGGGTTTCTTGAGAAGTGAGAGTCGGATTCGATGTGTTAGGTTTGGGTCGGTTGGAGGGGGGATTTTTTTTCAAGAATGATAGCTTTGTGGTTGGGAGAGGGGTTGGGGATGTTTGGGTTGATATTCGATATTTTTTCTTTTTTTTTTCTTTTGTTTTTTGGGGGTTAGAGGGGGGATGAGGATGTGGAGATTTTTCAGAGAGGAGAGGGTTTTTAATTGTTGATGATTTGAGATTGGGCGCGTGGAATTTGAGGATTTTTTTTTGTTTGAGGGTTTTTTGGGAGGTGAGAGTCGGATTTGATGTATTAGGCTTGGGTCGGTTGGAGGGGGGATTTTTTTTTAAGGATGATAGCTTTGCGGTTGGAAGAGGGGTTGGGGATGTTTGGGTTGATATTGGATATTTTTTGTTTTTTTTTCTTTTGTTCTTTTGGGGGGCTGGAGAGGGAATGAGGATGTGGAGATTTTTAGGGGAGGGGAGGGTTTTTAATTGTTGATGATTTGAGATTGGGCGAGTGGAATTTGAGGATTTTTTTCGCCTTGGAGAATTTTTGGGAGGGGAAAGTGGGGATTTTTTTTAAGGGGAAACGGAACCCCTGTGTTTACAGGAACTTTTAGAATTGTTTTCTGCTACATTTATTACTTTATATCTATGAAGTTAGTATATCCACTCGATCAGTGCATTGTTGAGTCAATGAAGTAGTTTCATAAATAAAAAATAATAATTGGAGGAGAAAATACAATTCTGCAAGTTCATGTAAACACAGGGGTTCCATTTCACTTTAAACGAGGATGGCTTTGTGGTTGGCGGAGGGGATGAGGATGTTTGGGTTGATGATTGTTTTTTGGTTGGGTTTGGGGGTGAGGGATGAGGATGTGGAGATTTTTGCGATTTTGGGAAAATGCAGGGTTTTTAATAATCGACGATTTGAGATTGAGCGAGTGAAATTTGAGAATTTTCTTTTTGGTTTGGGAGGATTTTTGGGATGTGAGACGGGAATTTGATGCATTACGATTGGGTCGTTTAAAGGGGAATTTTTTTGTGGCCCTTTGGGGAAAGGCCAATACCAATCCCCGGACGAGGAAAAGTGAAGATCAGTACGGAAAAATATTTTTTAACTCTCGGTTTATTTCACGTAATGCTATTAACTTGAGAAAATAGATGTTCTGGTAACGTTGTTGGTGCTTTACAGAAAATAAACGCAAATCTGATGACAATTTGGAGAATTCCACGGCCAAGACTAAAAGAATGGAGACAAAGCTGCGTTGCACTGATTTAATCGTACTTGGATTACCCTGGAAAACTACTGAGCAAAATTTGAGGGAGTACTTCGAGACTTTTGGGGAAGTTCTGATGGCCCAGGTAATGCATTCATTCTCATCGACATTGGAAAAGCCCCAATATTGCTGTGAAAAAACTAAATCACTCCATTTAACTTTAAAAATCCTCAAGTACTTTTTGCAGTTTCATAATCTTGAAAAGTTGGCTGTTTCATAAATTAATTAATCAGGACTTTGTATTAATATTTTGTACAAAAAATTGTCTAAAAGACTATAAACAATGTTTTGGAAGCAGAATCATTGTTAATGAGGTGATAGCGAGAATTATCACCGCAAATTTATCATTTATAATTAACAAAAGTATGAAAAAATATCCGAGTAGAATCCAGAAATGTTTCAATAGAATTTTCGGGGTTTCAGGTGAAAAAGGACGCTAAATCCGGCCAAAGTAAAGGCTTTGGCTTCATAAGATTCGGCAGTTACGAGTCCCAGCTGAGGTGTCTTGCCCAACGACACATGATCGATGGAAGATGGTGTGACGTCAAGGTTCCCAACAGCAAGGTAAGCGGCCAAACAATATTTTAATTCAACTTGACAACAGATTGAGTCGAGCCGTCCCCTATTCGGGGATTACCATTGAACAGAGCACAACATATTTAAGGAGAGATACATTCCACGTGTTAACGATCAATATGTACGAGATTCAGATCGTTATTTTCATGACTGTCTCCAGAGTTGACAATATGAGATGTAAATATAAAATATTCACGAAAAATAATATCAGGCCTGAATTCAGCAGAGCAAAATCGAAAAATTCATGAAGTTTTGGTGAATATCAGTGGAAATATTATTCATATTATTGTAATTATTTATTTATTTCTTCATTTTATTCCCAAAAGTGGAATTTTTTGATAAAAAAAATTATTTATTCCACCATGACACAAATTTTTGCTAACAATTTTGCAAAAACTGATCTAAAATTTAAACTTGAACCCCTTTCGTTTTACAATATTCAAAATAGAATAAACCAAGTGAGACCACTGCTATTATCTATTGCTTCATTTTATTCCTAAAAGTAGAATTCTTTCACAACAAAAATTATTTCAGCTTGACATCTTCCGAAATATTTTGCAAAAATTAAAGTTACATCACTTCTTCTCGTTCTGAACTTTCATTGCTACATTTACATTGCAACCATTGATTTTAGAAAATTTAAAGAGAAAAAATAAAACGAGTCATGAAGAAACCGATCATCTCCGTGTGTGCATTTACCGAATTATAAAATGAAATGGAAGAAAGTAAATAATGAGTGAGAACGTTTTTTATGGTATAAATAGATGAATGCGAATGGCGACAATGATGTAAAGAGCGAGCGTACATGGTTTCATGTCTGTATGATATCTGAATGTATGGAGTGTGATGCGGGTGACTCAGAGTGTTTCTCTCTCTTCAAGTGAATGGACTGACTTTTTTTTCTCTCTTGTTTTCGCCAATTTTTTTTATTAAATAATCGAAATGTATGGAGTTTCTCTCGTGATGTAGAGCATTAAAATCATCGGGTGGATGGTATATTGAGAGGTGTTTTTTTATCGGGAGTTCAAGTCATGTTTAATATGAATTTTTAAGAGTAATGGTTTATTATTGATTGATGAATTTTTTGACAGTGTGATTTCATTCTGACAGAGCTGGGGAGTTCCATGGGAGTTTAATAGTGAATAGTTTTTTTTATGGTTTTTGAGGATGGAATACTCTTTGGAGGAATTAATTTTTTTTTTTTATTTTGCTTCTGAAAGTGAAATTAACTAGGTATTTTCTGTTTTTTAATAGAAATAGTATTGACTGCTTCTAAAATTAGATAGACTATTCCGATAAAATGGCTGGGTAGTTGATAAACATTTGAAAACTATGTAATTTCTCAACTTCAATCAAATAGTGAATTTAAGGGAAATAGCTTTTTATGGTATTTGAGAATTGAATACTATTGTAAATAGTCATTGAGTTGATTGTTTTGGAGAAATTACCTATTTTTATTTTCCTTCCGCAACTGAAACGAACTAGGCATTTTCTATTTTTTAACAGAAGTTGTATTGACTGTTTCTAAAATTAGATCGACTATTCCAATAAAATGGCCGGATAGTTGATCAACATTTTCATACGACGATATTTCAAAAGATTATTATTAACTCTTGATTTGAAATAGTATTCATTTGAAGAAAACTATGAAAAAACTATTCAATTTCTCCCATTCGAACCAACAGTCATGATTATTTTGCCCAGCTCTGCTTACCGAATTATTACGAAAGTTCAATTATGTAATGACGTGTGCGTGCGTGGGAGAAAATAAACTCATGTACTCGCGTTAATTCATCCTTTGTTGTACGTTTTTCGTTTCAATTCCGGGGTGTGCTGTGTGGAGTATGTCGATGGAGTGAGACCGTAGAATACAATGTCGATCGGTTGAATGAACAGATTGAGTAGGCGATTAAAACACATCCTTGATTGAATTTCCCTCCGTTAGTTTGGGAGAGAAGTAAAGGGGGAATTGTTGAGGAGACAAACGTTCGTGAATATCTTTGAATCCAAGGGGGATTAGAAATTTTTTATTAGAACCTTTTTTGTGGAGAATTTCATAAGCTACAAAAAATGTTCCCGGGAGTTTTCTCGTAGATCCACTCTTTTTCGAGATATTTCAAATTTTCCGTGAGAAAAAATCCTCCATCCTCCCTTAATTCACGAACATTGATTTTTTAACCAATTGAGCAATTAAAAACAAGTAGAGAATTTCACAAATTACTATGAATTAATAACGAATGATCTACCCAACAAGTAATATAACAATTTCATTGATTAATTAATCAATTACTTCAATTAATTAGAATTGAAACACGATCGAATAAAATTCGTTTATCACTCTAATCTGCCTCATCGAGTCAAAAACGTTTCGCCCCCTCAGCAACGCCCCCTCCCCCAAAAAATTACACGTCAAAATGTCCGAATGTGCCCCTGAGAGTGTCTGACCCCAAAAGAAAGCCCCCCTGAAACCAAAAAATCAGCCCCAACCCCCCAAAAAGTACCTATTGTTCGAGGGAATGGATGTGTCTGGTTCCAGAACATAGACGGGATAATGATGGCACGTCAGTATGATACCGGTAAGCACAGCGAGTGTTATCGTCCAATTCCGGTGCATACCCCAGGTAGTCGTCGTTTATCAGTGGCTAAACCCTACATGCCAACAACCGCCGAAAGTACAACCGCACCCCGCTACGATCAGGATTACGATTACAAGACAACTCATTATCCATCCTATCCCCCAAATTACCCATACGATGAAACAAATAAATACAAGTATGAGCAGCAGGGTGTGCCCCAACAGCCAATAGCCCAGGGTTACGGTTACGATAAGCCCCAGTATCCAGGTTATGACGAGAACAATTACGAGTCTAGAGGTTACATGGCGTCTCACCAGGCGGCGCCACAGTCAGCCCCTGGAACGAATTACCAGGAGTCGGAGTACACTAGGTACAATTACGAGGGCAATCGGCCTTATCTGGGGTCAGACGGTAGTGAGTATGATAAGGGAAGATATGGGTATCAGTACGAGAGGAGCTATTACGACGCTGAGGGAAGGTACATCGATGGCAGGCATGATCCGCGTTACACAGACACTCGTCATCAGGATGGACGTGACAATCGGGAGGAGAATAGATACGATAATAGGGAGGACAGACGGTACCAGGAGGGCAGGGAGGATGAGACCACCAGGTATGAGGGACGGGAGGAGCGGTACATGGATCGCAGCGATGGACGATATGACAACAGATATCCCAAAGAGAACTATTACGATCGGTACTACAAGCATCGACCTGCGAGGGAACATCCCGCTGAGACGTCGAGATATTGATAAATGGCCCGGTTTTACGGTTAATTGAGTAGTTTCTCAGGGGATCGGGCTTGATGGGAGTTAGGGATATTGGGAGAGGGCTCAGAAGGGTCTCGTTTACGGACAGGGAGGATTCATTGATTTGACATTGTCTTAGGGTGAAGATATTCGCGATGTTAAATTGACGAGTGGCGGGGCTTTAAGTAATGTTACAATATGGATGACATTAAATTTTACCATTAAAAATTTTCAGTCGCTCAATGGAGTCAATGGATCAATGGAGTTAAGCCCATTTATTATTGAGGAGCCCCAATTGTGTGTATGAATAGGAAGTTTCCCCTGATACCACTTTTGGTGATTTCATTCGACATGTTTTAAGGGGGCCATGTTAAAGCGTCAGCGCCGCCTCGCGGTCGTTTAACATCGCGAATTCCTGGAAATGTAACGTCTTTAGGCATTACGTGTGATTTTAGGGTTTTTGGGGATCTTGAAATTCAAGGGAGAGATATTTTAATCTGTTTTTCCAGGGTTGTGACTTGCATTCAGGTCGCGACTTGAATTTAAGAAGAGAATGAAATTTATATCGCGACTTAAATTCAGGTCACAACTGGCATTCATAATCATGTCGCGACGCAAATTTAAGCCACGGCTTAAATTCAGGTATTTTTTGCATTCAAAATCAGGTCGCGAGTTGAATTTAAGGCGAGGCTTAAATTTATGCAACGACTTAAATTCAGGTAACAACTTGTGCTCGTAATCAAGTCGTGACACAAATTTAAGACATGGCTTAAATTTAGCTAGTCGTTTGTATTCAAAATCAGGTCGTGACCTAAATTTAGATCACGGTTTAAATTCTAATCTCGTCTCAAATCGAAATTCTGATCGTGACTTAAATTCAAGTAACAACTTGCATTCATACTCAGGTCGAGATATGAATTTAAGCCATGGCTTAATTTCAGGTACTCACTTGCATTCAAAATCAGTTCGTGACATAAATTTAGGCTGCGACTTGAGAAAAAATGGTTCAAAAAAAAAATTTCAATCGCCTTTACGTTCAGAAAAATTTAGCAAAAAAGTTATAAATTTCTTTTTATTTGGGGAGATAAATCAAAATGGAAAGAATAATTGTAGACGTTTGCTCTTTACTATCCATCAACGTCGCCAATTACTAATAATGTTTTACGATATTCACTGTAAGTTAAATGATTACATTAACCTAGGAATGGATAGTTATGAAGTATGATTTTAACCATTATTTTGGGTATATTTTCCTTGTACCATAGTTTGATTATAATTTCGAGTGGAATATTAACGATGCAAATGTTCGGGGTAACGTTTTTATTTCTTGTTATTCTGAAATTAGTGGTTAAGGATTTATACATAGATAATAGATAACTTTGTATAAAATAGAAAAAAAAAACATGAACGATGAACATTGTTGAATACTTATGAGGTTTTTCAACCGAATTAGGACCAATTTTGTTGTATGTATTGTATATATTTTAGATGATATTCAGCGGATTCAGTTGATTGATATGATGCAAATGATGTGGGGATATGTGTTTAACCGTTTGATACTTGTTGGAAGGGAGGCACGTGAGAATTGTTCATAAATAGTTTTTCCATTTTTTATAAGAAAAAAAAATTCAACTAAGGCCTTTTACCCTCCAGCACCAGATGCCCCAGAACTCCATAAAAGCCCTTCCTTGGAAAAAATAGTTCACCCCATTGAACGGACTCTCAGACCTGTTCATCACTCATCCGCCATTTTGTGATCACTCGCGGCCATTTTGCGTCAGCGTGCGCGCGCAAACTTTGCGCGTGAACGCCTATGGAGCCTAGACGGAACCACACCCCATAACCAATAAGAATGGAGCAAACAGAATTGGCGGGTAAATGCTGAGATATGAATGGGCAGATGGACTTTCACCGAGTTCTCTCCCATCTATTTAATAATTCACCCTGGAAAGACTGTCAATTTCTCGCGATCGAATAAAGAAAATGGACTCCAACCCTCCCAACAAGTATCAACCCCACACCCCGAAACAACCCCCCCGGCTAACAACCCCCTGACTGATGATTGGCGTTTGTGCTTAGGAGGGAATGATTCAGCAAGTACCGTGCAAGGTATTCGTGGGCCGCTGTACAGAAGACCTAACAGCGGACGATCTTCGCGACTACTTCTCAAAATTCGGTGAAGTTACGGACGTATTCATCCCCAAGCCATTTCGTGCATTCTCATTCGTAACATTCTTAGATCCCGAGGTTGCCCAGTCCCTGTGCGGTGAAGATCACATAATAAAGGGCATATCTGTTCATGTATCCAATGCAGCACCAAAATCCGAGGGTAACAATCGTAATTTCAACAATCAGATGAATTCAAATATGCGTGGAAGGGGTATGCCAGGCCCAATTGACAATAATATGCAGGGAAATTATCAGGGAAATCGTTACATGGGACATTCGGGCAATAATATGGGCCCCAATGGCTGGAGTAATCCTGGAAATCGTGGAAATCTTGACATGCCAAATTTACAGGCACTTGGTATAACAGGACAGAATAATGGCGGTGGTGGTGGTGGTGGTTTGACCAATCCACTTGCTATGGGGGGAATTAATCTGTCAGGATTGCCAGTTAATCCAGCACTTGTTGCTGCTGCCCTCAATCAAGCGTCATGGGGACTCATTGGGAATCTTCAGAATCAGGGAAATGATCAGGGGTATTCTAACCAGCCTGGACCACCTGGACAACCACCCTCGGGGAACAACAGTATTGGGAACAGTGGAAATTCGGGATTTCTCAGCTGGATGAATCAAGGGGGTGGTGATGGCAACACGGGAAATCCTGGGTCTGGGGGACCTGGGCCCAATAATCCCAATGCTAGCCAGGGCGCCTGGCAGAATCATCCAGGACAGCGGGATCAGAAAACTAATACATTTTTGAAGTATGAGTAAGGTGGGGAGGAGATGATCGTGGGAAATTGTTGAGGGTGATTATTTGGAGGCGATTTGGAAGGTTTTTTTTTTGGTGTTTATGTCAAATTATCAGCACTTTTAATGCAGAAGAGGTGTAGAACGTGATGAGAACGTGGGGGATATGAAATTAGGGTTGTCTTGGTTGGCAGGGGTCTAGGGGGAAGGTAATGGAGGGACATTCTACATTTAGATGATGTCTTAAATTCAGGCTACGACTTGAAATCAGGTCGTGACGCAAATTTATAACTAGAAAGGCTTTTAAGTTTCAATGTGGATCTAGAATTCAATTGAGATGAAGGCTTAAATTCAGTTCCAGGCATAAATTCAAGTTGTGGCTTGAATTCAGGCTGCAGATTAAAATCAGGTCGTGACGCAAATTTAGGTCCAGAAAGTCTTAATCCTCGATTTGGATCTGCAAAACTACTTCAGTTCACGTCGAGGCTTAAATTTGGGTCCAACCATAAATCGAGGACGTGGCTTAAATTCAGGCTGCGACTTAAATTCAGGTCACAATTTGAATTAATTGAAATCGCTACTTAAATTCAGATATAAATTCAATCATGCAGTATAAAAAAAGCGAATCTAAAATTTCCCACAAAAAATGTCTTAAATATTCCCCTACACCCACTTTCAACTGAGATAAACGCGCAAACAACAAAAATATCAAACCCATCATGTTCAGTCTCACCTACAATTACCCACCTCGAATTATAATTGTCTTATCAACTGGCTTTATTTCATTACACAATTCACGATTTGTTTACACAGCCAGCAATATCTAATCTGTAAAAATAATCACCCAGGAAAACCGACGAGAGAAGATGAATAATTGACTTGGAATGCAATCGATGTCATAAAATCAACGCAACTAAATCTAAAGAGAACTGATGAAAAAAAAAGGAACGAAATATTGGGATGAAATATGAGAAAATTTTTAACACGAGATAATTGTAATAATATGGTGCATTGAAAACGATTAACTAAACTTAAGCCGAGATATGGATGGGAAGAGTCAAATGAGTGGTGAATGTGCATTAGAATTTTCTTTATCATTTGATTTATTTCTCACGAGATATATTGTAATGATAATTCTAATGTCTAGAGCGGCGTATATGTGCTTGGAATTCATTGCAGTGTGTTTAATATTTAAATAATAATGAGGTATGTTCGGTGTAATGTGGGATTTTGAGTAAGTTAGCACCCTTTCACAAATAAATGAATGAGGTAATTGGGATAATTGATGATAATGGATGACAATGTAACTGATAATTGATTAATTGATGAGGTTTCGAGATGGTAGATGTGAATTTGTGAGGGGGGATGGAGATTAGATGATCAATATCTGCGAGGGTCGGTATAAGATTGATTATACTATAGTTGTTTATCAGTTTGTGAGTGTATTCGTATCATTGAATTACTAACAAAGAAAATATGGTTAATAAATAAAGTAACATGAATTTAGGTAATGCCATTTATTATGGTGGAAAAAAAATTATTGTAAGTATATGGATTAATATGCGCTTAGCTGATAGTTATTTCATCGATGAGAGCTTAAGTAATCGTTGTATACATGCTTTTTCAAGGAATGTTGCATGGTTTCCCTCCTGGATGGGTCGGATGTCTGAGGAATTTTCTTCTCTTATTTTGGTATATAGACGGGAATTCTAGGGAAGATGTGAAGTGTGAGAGGATTTTTTTTTCATGATGTTCAGGAAAAAGTATTAGTCATTTTTTGTGGAGAATGTTATAAGCTACCAAAGAGGTCAAATTTAGCTCACGGCTTAAATTCAGGTAACGACTTAAATTCAGGTCGGGACCTATCAATTTTGGTCGTGACTTAAATTCAGGTATATGCCTATCAATTTAGGTCGTGGCTTAAATTCAGGTCGGGCGCAGATTCAGGTTGCGTCCTAAATTTACATTGCACCTACATTCAGGTCTCGTCTTAAATTCAGGTCGGGCTTGGATTTATATCGCAGCTTGAATTCACAGTGCGGCTTAAATTGGAGGCGTGGCTTAAATTCAGGTCGATAAAAAACTGCACTTTTTTTTTCGAAAACCCAACACTTCGAGATATTCCCCAAAATCAGCAACATTAAATTTTTTCAACATTAAAAAATGACAAATTCCTCTCACACTTTGCAATTTTCCCCTGATAAAAACAATGAATCGGAGATGATAATGAATATCTCAAACGAGATATTAAGGTACTTCCGCAGTAAGTATACTTGGTGAAAATTTCGAAATGGTATAAAGACGCAATATTTGGATCATATGTTGTTGACCACATTAAAAAGATATTCCCAAAATTTCAAGTCTCTGGTCCACCCCATTTTTGAGATATGCATCGCCGAACATTCAATTTTTGTGTTTTTTCCATTTTTGACGATGTATATCTCGAAAATGGGGTGGACAAGGTACTTGAAATTTTGGGAATAGTTTTTGAATGTGCTCAACAACATGATCCAAATATTGCGTCTTTATACCATTTCGAAATTTTCACCAAGTATACTTACTGCGGGAGTTCCTTAACCCGATTCATCATTAATATTCACCCATAGATTATTTATTACTAACCCACAAACAATTGCAATGTTACAATTCACATGAACAAACCGCAATCGAGACTCAATTCCCCAATATTTTCACAATTTTTCATCTTTAATAAGTAATAGTTGGTCAGGGGGGGGGGGGGATGACGACAAAACAACAGAAAAAACGATGAATGCATAAATAATTGGTACGCAGTTAATCGAGTAACTGAATAGATTAAAATAATTGAAAATCTGATTTGTAACCACGGACTTTCTCTCGTAGGTACTTAGCGTGAATTACACAGTTGTACGACTTTTTGTGTATGAATATTTTACACTGGTGCGCTGATGTGTAAATTAAATAAAATTTAATGTTAAAAAACATTGAGTCAGAAATAACGGATATGAAACCAATTCATTAACAAATGCGAAAGAATCTAACGATAAATTTTTAACTGAATAAATAAATGGAGTGCTTTGATTTCATTGGTTGTGTGGAATAAAAACAATTAATTATATATTTATACACGGTTTATTTGAATTGAATGGTTTGAAAGCGGTAGGTAATATCAGGAGTGAATTCAGTGAATTTTTTTTTACAATCGATTCAACGTTTTTTGCTTCGTTGTGATTTTTTTGGCAAGTGGTGGAATTTTATTGTGGGATTATCTCGACATTGGCTGAGTGCAATTCAACGAGTCACGTCTCATTCTCAAGGTATTATTTCAACCTTTAGAATGAGAACTGACTCATCTCATTCGCATCATTACTTCCAATGATATTGACGTTTTACCACTTGGCCAGAAAAATGCAATAGACGAGAATAAAAACAATGATATATAAACCAATAATAGTTGTGTCAAAATGGGGTTGTTGATGAATAAAAAAAACATTTTCTCGTTCTTTGAAGGAAAGATTTATCGAGTAGCGAAGTTTCACTAGGTGACGAGGGTCTCGCAGTTTCATTAGTCAATAAAACGTAAATTAAAAATGAAATGAAATAATTGAGGGGAAAAATTTAAGTGATAAATATGTGACAGTAAATAGTTGAAAGATTATTAAAATCATCGATGAACGAGGATAATGCTGTTACGTAACTATCGTTATGCCGCAATTAATGAAACTATTCATATAAACTACTTCAAATCACTTATTATCTAATTAGTGAAGAGAAAATCGAGAGGTAATTAACAACAAATATTGACAAATAAAAGGAATTCTTATACGTGATTGTGTGTGCTGTTTGTATCTTTCATTTTTGTTTTACAGTGTGAAAAATTTATGGAATAATATTCTTTTCATTTTATTATCATTCATTCATCCAACGATTTTTATGTTTCTACTCGCGAATGGATTCTGTCGAATATAACGTGGGGCTTATTTCGGTGATCGTCGCTGATTCCAGCGATGATGGGACGTTTCTGTGAGGAATATTTGACTTTTTTATGCATTTTTTTGAGATTTTTTTGTTCACCTCATGGGTTCGTTAACATCATATTCTTTCTTTCATATTTTTATTCATTCTGGAGTGAAAGGGGTGGATGTTTTTTAGAGGGAAATGTCTTCAGACCTTTTTTGTGAGAATTAGGAGGCTTCGGGAGTAAAAGAAAATGATACTGAAATGCTGGAAAAACTTTGCGTCATGAATTCTCGGCCAAAAGGGAACGAAAAAGTCTGAAGTATAGCTTGAAAAATATTTTTAATAACTGTTCAAAAATGCGAGGTGATCAAAAACGAGATGTGTGGGCGCCGCCATCTTGTTTGCATACAACTCCCTCGGATGGAAGATGGCGGCGGCTCCACCTTGTATTTTTAAAGATTTTTTAAAATTATTTAGACTGTTCAGGTCACCCTCAACTCATTTCAAACGATTTCTATAAATGGAATAAATTCAGGTTACATAAGGCTTAAATTCAGGTCTTGTTTTAAATGCAGATCACGACTTAAATTCAGGTCGTAAATTAAGTTGAAGTCAGGACTTGAATATACATTATCTTAAAATCAGGTATCACCTTAAATTCAGGTCGGGACATCTAAAGTTTGATGGCATCTTAAATGCATGCCTCGTTTTGAATGGAAAGGAAGGCTTGAACTTAAGCCACGGCTTTAATTCCCGTTGCATATTAAATTGAGACCAGGGCTTAAATTCAGGTCACAACTTAAGCTCAGATATTGTCTAAAATGTAGACCGCGAGTTAAATTCGGGTCGCAAATTACGTTTTAGCCTGGGCTTAAATTCAGGTCGATGCTGATAAATTCAAGTCATGTCTTAAATTCAGGTTTGAAAGTCAATTCAGGTAGCACACTAAAATTATTATACATAGCACTTAAATTCAGGTCGCAGACTAAATTACGATCAAGAATAAAAAAAAATTTCAGCCATGTTTGATATTTTGCCATCCTCTTTTGACTAAGACTTCAAGACGCAAAGTTTTTTCCGCATTTAAATATTTTTTTTCTACTCAAATAAAATGCCCTTTTCCCCTATCTCATCCCTCGTGCACTCCTAGACTCATCCCTTTAAAAAAATCGTTTGAAAGTATTATTTTGAAAATTCTGGAAGCGAAAGAAAAACTGAGTATTCAAGTGATGGCTGATGTGTTATTGACTTACTCATGATGACTGAAGATTCATTAGTGGACCGATTGGATTGAATTAACGAACGTGAATAATGTGAGTATGAATCGGTTGAATGTATTTGTTAATGGTCGTCTCAGAACTACAGAAGCGAAAGTTTGTCTGATTAAAAGTAAAAATCTTTTTGAAATAAAAAATGAATGGGACTGTATCTGAAGAGTGGTGAAACGAGTGTTGAATCACAATGATGGATGAAACAGCATCTCCCACCGGCTATTTAATTTTTCTATTTAATCCCGACTGATTTGAAAAAATGCCTGAGTGTTTTATACCGATGAAGCGTGCACGGTAATGAGAAATAATTTTTAAAAATTATAGGGATGACAACCAGCAATGAGCGCTTACATACAAATGTTTAAATCAATTTTAAACAAAACATGACAGCTGATAGACAAAGACTGTAGTTTAAGACAACTTTTAACAAACATTTAGAACCGTTAGGGCGTACGATGATACAATTATGAATTTCGGTCCCTTCCAAACCGTTTGTACACAGAAAAAGAAAATTCACTCAAAGTACTATTACACTTATTACACAATGAACGAGTGTGCAATATCTATGGCAATTCTATTTATATAAAATGGAATTGTCCATTGATGCATTTGACAACTGAAAAAACCGCAGAAATACTCTTAACAAATGAATCAAGAATTTTTTCACAACAACACTAATGTATTAAGTCAATTAGAATTAGGGAAGATTAATTAACCAAAAAAAAATGAAACAAAAAGTAATTGTTGCTCAAGAGTTGCCTTGCAAGAAGATTAAATAAATAAATGATGATGAAAAAATGACGAGTGAAGCGATTTGGAAGTGATCGGCACGGAATTTGTAAATATCCATGATGAATTTTCATGTTGATTAATAAAACCAACTTTTTGAAAGTTTCATTAACAATTTTTCAATGTAAAGTGAGCGATAATGATGGGTTCTTGTGATTATTGTGTGAGGTAATCGTGTCATTAAGATTATGAAGAGAAGTAATATGAAAAAAATTACGAGTGAGGAAGACAGTCGGGGGACAATGATCATCTTCAATCAGGAATATCTCAAGATTGGCTGAGTGGAATTGAAAGAATATTGCGCCATTTTGAGAGGAATATCTCGAGTTTTGAAATAAACCCCGACTCGCTCGAATCGCATCGTTGGTTCCAAAGATATTTGAGATTTAGTGAAGATCATTCTGCCCCAGGCTGTCCACCATTTTTGCCATAACGTGAATAGAGATGAGTGAACGAAATTGGAAATTTAAAAAAAATCAAGATGATTTTGTGTGAAGGTATACTGGACTATTCCCTCTTGTCATTCGTCCTGATGATGAAACAAAAACAAAGAAAAACGCTTAAGTAAGATTTTTAATTGAATGTTGAATCTGTGAAAAAGTCACGTTTTATTTTCTTTCCAATATCAGCCGATTCTTCGAGAGATCATTGAATTTCATTGTAAATAAAAGATTTTCGAATTGTTTTCTACTATCATTATTCAACCGTTATTCCGAGCTCTCTTATGATACTAAAAAAAATCAGAAATGAATAAAATCAATTTTTTAATCAATTAGAAACAGTGAAATTGCATTTAAAATAGTTGAACGGTTTTCAGTCGTGAACGAGTTCATGAAATTGTTGCGGAGCTCGCCTAAAATCGAATATTCATTGAATTTGATGAGAATTTTGTATCGAAGGTACGAAATTTGATGAGTGGAATTTTTCTCATTCTCGTCATTATGTAAATATCTCAGTAATTAGTGGTTTCACAGGAAAATGTTATAAGATTTTTTTGTAGAAAATTGAATTCTCTACAAAAAAAGTCTTATGACATTTTTCGCTAGAGGCACCCACTACCGAGATAATCGCGTAATTAGCAAAGAAGGTCGACCCATCAAATTCACCTGAAATAGCGATTTTTTTCTTCTTACCTCGATCTATTAAATTACTATATAAATTGATCGAAGAAGGTACAAATAGTCATTCATTTACGATAATTAGACGGAAAGTGTGCGGAAAGTAATCGAAGAATGAGTAAAAAGAGAATGAAACAAAATAGAGAATTTATTTATTCATAATAAAACTGAAGAATTACGTGAGAGATCAAAATGCGTCGTGTAA